GTTGTCTCCTCTCCATCTCAGTTTTGCCTGACTGTTGTTGCTATTTATTTTTCTTATTTCTGTGTTTCTCATTCTTGACATGTTACCGTTCTGCTTAAAGTCTCCAATGTTAGGAATGTGGGTCTCCTTGAGACTAGTCTCTTTCCTAAGTATTAGAAAGATTCACCTGTTTGCTCCCTATCATTTTACAATTTCCGTATTCTCTGCCTTCGAGTTTCCCAATAACATTGGGTTCATTCCCCTCCCCTCACTCTTCCCCCATCATCCCTGATTCCATATTCACCCTACAATTAAAATACTCCACCAAAGTGACTGTAGCGAGGTCAGCCAGGTGGACCTCATAGAATACGAGTTCCTGATTAGACCGGATTAACAGCCCTAATCAGGGAGCCCTGGCTTACAGATAAAGACAGAAGTGTCAGAGGTTCTGTTCACTCTGACAGCTGGCTCTGAGGAAGCTGGGCCAGTGTCAAATACAATGCACATGTAAATAAAAGGTGACTTGGTGACTGGAGACTGGCCTTTGTGGAATTATTTCAAGAGCAAAGATGCTTTCTCCTATCTATTTGGGCCATTTTAAAATATCCAAACAGGAATGTTTTGGTTTATAAAAATCAATCCATGTTGAACAGCTGTTCTGACTCTAAATGCTCTGCATGGATATATTACTGTTTCTTGCCAAGAACATTAGCTGACCAATGATCTTTTCCTGTCCTCTGGTTAATGACCCTTCAGTAACTGGATGCAATCTTACCTAACTTATTCTATTAAAACGTCACATCATTTCAAACTATTCTGTTCTGAGGAAAAGAACTTCATCTTCTTCATGCAACTGAAGTTTCTCATGCCTGGTATAGTTGAAGTAAATCTCCTCTGTATCTGACTGGAGGTCTGAAGATAACATTTTGATGTCCATTCTGTATTAGGGTACCCAATTTCAGCAGCTCAGTGCAACAGTGTCTGCAACAACACTGTCTCAGACAATTCGAGCACTTGGGAGAGAAGGGAGGGGGAGAACCAGCCCAAATTACCACTCCTTAATACCCTATGGAAGAAAGCGAAGGTTGTTGTGAACATCAGATCTTGTGGATTAGTGCCCAGTTAAAACTTTCTGTCTAAGTACATACTTCGAGATGTCAGAGGGCTGTTGTTTTTGAAGGATCTATATTGTGGGACTAATCCATAACATCAGGGCAAAAGGAGGTGAAAAGAATGGGACTGATTAGTTGTGTAACTCCTGCTATGTCTCTGTATGACATTTATCGTGGAAGCCATTTTATGTATTCAAGGATGAACAATTTGGTTGAACAAGGTCAGACCTGGATTCGTTTCTGGCTGAGAAATCAATGACAACCATCAACACTCATAGTGCAAGATACGGCCAGGATTGTAAATTAAATGGATGTGATTGAATGACACCAGACATGGGTTTTAGAAGTCTTCAATGTTGGATATGGAAAGAATGATTGAGGGAAAAGATGAAAAGTACCTACAATTTGGAAAACTTTGGATTGGGATTTTTAATGAAAGGTTAGGAATTCCAAATTAGAATGAGCAGTGTTTCATGCATTTACAGCAAATGTCTGTTTATTTGGTTTAAATCCATCTCATCTACATCCAGACACGAAAATTATTTAGCATATGTCGCTGTGAATTAATTAGCCAATTTTAATATTATATTTGCCTCAGAGGTTCAGGTAATGGCCTTTTAGAGCATGCTTTACAGTCTAACGGCAAAATGAACAATTTGGAAATGACATTTGTTAAACACTTCCACAGATGACTCAGTTGTTCAATGCCCTGTGAATTCTGGTTGTGAGCTCTACTCACTACAAGGCTCCTGGCTGATTTCTTGTCTATTCTGTGTTAGCTATGCCCATGGTGGCAGGCTATAATGGCTCTCGGAAAGGAGAAAAGCAGCCTTCTGATTCTGAAAATGATCCAGTATTGCTATTTGAGATGTTAGACAAGAGCTAGAGGATTGAGGAGACAACTATGCCATAATCTCTCCACTCCTGCTTTTTGAAATAGTCTATTGCTCTCATTGTGTCAGGTCACAATTCAAAAGTATCATTGATAATAGTGAGGTGTCATCAAATTAGTGCCAAATGTGGAACTTATTCATATTTGTTCATTAGATGTGACCATTACTGGCCAAATCCATGTCTTGCTCACCTCTTGAGAAGGTCATTGGTGAGCTCCCTTCTTGACAAACCAAAAGACATATTTGGTCATTTCAGAATCAACCACTTGCTCCTAGAGTCTAAAGGATATTCAGGAACAGGATGGATTTTTAGGATAATCCAGTTGTTTCACAGTCATCATTATTGATACTAACTTTTCTCTAATTACAATTTTATTTAATTAATTGAATTTGAACTCCCCAGCTCCTGTGGTGAGATCTGAATTAAAATCTAAACTCATTAGATCCAGCATTTAGATTATTAGTCCAATAATAAAATCATTGAGCTACTGTTGCCAGTTACAGAAAAAATTCTAATGTAGTGTTCAGGACATTTGTGAGGCCTTTACGGGAGTACTGTATCCAGTTCTGGTTGCCCAATTATAGGAAGGATATTATTAAGCTAGAGAGGATTCAGAAGAGATTTTCCAGTTGTTGCCAGGCTTGAATCATAAAGAAAGCCTGGATAGGCTGGGACTTATTTCACTGGGGCATGGGAGGTTGAGAGGTGATCTTATAGAAGTTTATAAAGTCATGAGTTGTATAGATGGGGTTAATGATAGCTGTTGTTTCCCTAGGGTGGGGAATTTCAAGATGAGGGGCATATTTTTAAGGTATGAGGAGAGAGATTTACAAAAGACAGGAGGGGCACATTTTTTACACAAAGGGTGGTCCGTGTGCGGAATGAACTTCCTGAGGAAGTGGTGGATGTGGGCACAGTTAAAATTTTAAAAGACACTTGGATAAGTACATAAGTAGGAAGGTTTGGAGGGATATGGGCCAGGAGCAGGCAGGTCGAACTAGTTTAGTTTGGGACTATGTTTGGCATGGACTGGTAGGACCGAGGGGTCTGTTTCTGTGTTGTATGACTCTATGTGCCATATACAGAATGGAAAATGAACTTTCATTGCCAGTTTCCATACAATAAGGCAGTTTATAACACAGGCAAACATTGACTGAAGTTTAAGATGGTCGAAACTAATTGGCACCAGATGAAGAGAGAGAAAAAAAACATTTTGTAATTAACTTGTTCAGATATGTTAGTACACAGCTCTGGACCTGCTGGGACACCAACCTGGACCTCCTGGCTTCAAGGTAGTGACACTATGATTGCACCACAAGAGGCGATATACATTGAACAGGGCTACTTTTCACAGTTGGCTTCATTGAAAGGCATTACTGAGATCAGACGAAGAGAAGCTGAGTAATTTCCTTTTAGAATACAAAACCGAAATAGAGCGAGATCATGTCATTCAGTTCGGTGTGTGCAGGTGACTACTGGATTTGAACTTGCAAACAGAAAATCGATAACAGCCTTACCCTTGCTACATCTCACTCTGAAACCTTTCTCAAAGCCTTGAACCTTATTTTATGGCTTGAAAACCACTCAGAGAACCTCCCTGATTCAAACAGGGAATTTTGAAGGAAGATTCCAACCCAGTAGCAGTGATTCTGGGAGTAGGTTATAGACTAGCCATGACCATAAAACAGCAGTGAGAACCAGAACATCTGGACACAATCAATGAATTTTTATTGACTTCAATTCTTGATTTTTGTTTTGTTTTATTTAAAGTTTGATGGTGTGGAAATTCATATATCTTGACATGCTTGGGGGTTATGCATTCATTAGTGAAAAGTGGGACAGGAGATTTTCAGCAATAAAAATCTCTTTACTTGCTTAACTTCATAATACCTACCTGGCTTGTTTCTTACAAAGTGCACCCTGTCAAGTACATACTGAATAGGCAGCCCATTGTCCTTTTTAAAAAATTCAAAATATCCCATCGCAGTCAAACAAGGAGTGGAGAAAAGCACAAGCTAATCTCCTTCTTACCTGGTTGTAACAATGTCATAAACATTATAGTAGATTGTAGGCCCTGTCCCTATCTCTGGATCAGGAAGTTCAGGTTCAAGTCCCAGCTGCTCCAGAGGTATGCAGTAACATCTGTGAACAAGTTGATTAGAAAATAGCAGATTGCGGCAGGATCAAGTGGTGCAGTGGTAGTGTCCCTGCATCTGGGCCAGGAGGCCTAGGTACAAGTCCCACCTCTTCCAGGTGTGGGTAATAACATCTTTTAGAATAGGTGGCTTAGACTATATGTCTCGCAGACATGCTTTTACTAGATGATAACTGATATACAATAATTATACAAACGCAAAAGAAACTATATCAAATTGTGAGGGGCTCTTGTGGCACAGGGCATTGTCCCTACCTCTGAGCTAGGAGACCCTTGTTCAACTGCCAACCTTTCCAGAAGTGTGTAATAACATCTCTGGTTAACATTAGATGATAGCTACTGCAGGTTATGGGAGTTGATTTACCTCATGTAAATGTAAAATTCCCTCTGGTCCACCAACCTAATACTCACTATTCAATCCCTCTGCCCTATATAAGTTTGTGATCTCTGCTCCCCATCATAATGGCTGCAATGCATGATAAATAAGCCCAGAGTTGGACATTGGGTTGAAATTACCATAGGGATGCAGCAGTCCTATTCATCTTGTAATATATTCATTCACAGGATGTGGGCATTGCTGGCTAGGCCAACATTTATTGCCCATCCCTAATTGCCCAGAGGGCGGTTAAGAGTCAACCACATTGCTGTGTGTCTGGAGTCACATGTAGGCCAGACCAGGTAAGGATGGCCGTTTCCTTCCCCAAAGGACATTAGTGAACCAGATGGGTTTTTCTGACAATTGGCAATGGTCTGATGGTCATTGTCACACTCTTAATTCCAGATTTTCTTTCTTGAATTCAAATTCCACCATCTGCCGTGGCGGGATTTGAACCAGAGTCCCCAGAAGATTATCTGGGTCTCTGGATTAACAATCCAGCAGTAATACCACTAGGTCATTGCCTCCCATCATTACATGGTGGGGAAGAGGTCAGCAGGGATGTCAGCTGGTTACAGAGATTTGAGTACCATATCTACTGCAGTGTGGTCCAGAGGTTCTGCCACAGATGCCATCTTTTGGATGGGACATCAAAAACTGATGTGACTAAGCTTAAATGTTCCATAGTAACTATTTCAAAGATCAGTTGGGGAGTTCCGTCTGGTGTCCAAGTCTGTATCCATCTGTCAACTAACATGACTTGAACCATCTTAAACCACTTTAACCTCTCGCAGTTTGTGGGATTTTGTTATATTAAAACCTGTTGGTAGATTACAACACTGATGGCTTAATTCAGAAGGTACTTCATTGGGAAGTGGTTTGAGAAGAGGAGATGATCACGGAATCACAATGTTGTCACACAGAAGGTGGCCATTCAGTCCATTGTGCTTGTACTGGCTCTTCAAACGGGCAGCATTACCTAATGCCAATCTCGGGCTTTCTCCCCACAACCTTGCACATTAGGCCTATCCAAATCATCTAATGCCCCCTTGAATACCTCAACTGAACCTGCCTCCACTTCTAGGCAATGCGTTCCGTACCCTAACTACCGGCTGTGTGATAAAGTATTTTCCTCACTTCACCCTTGCTTCTTTTGTAGATCACTTAGGTTATGAAATGGGTTATATAAATACAGGGCTTTCACTTTGTGCTCTCACACAATGCGTATTCCTTGTGTGATCTGCTTGAATTGTGTGGAAATACATTACCTTATAGTGCAATAGCTTCAGCAGAGCATCTTATCTGCTTTCCCTTTCTCTGCTCAGCTCTGAATGGCGGAGCACTCGGCTGGGTCAGCACTCAGCTCCTGCAGGAGCCCTTTAATGAGACTGAATATAGGTTGTCAGGCCTCGTCAGTCTGAATTCTCCTAATGCAGCTCTCTCACCACTGCAATCATATCAGTGATGGCCACATGACACTTCACCATTAACTGTAACTGTCATAATGACAGGCGACGGATGAGATGGAATCGCTGCTTATGAATCTGCCTCGCAGTGATACTGACAAACAGTTAAAGCAGGAAGTAACTCTCTGGAGGACATGTGACAAAATGGTCTTTCTGAAGGAGAAAGCCAATTAATTCTTTGTTCTCCCATCTAATGACTGACAAAATCAATGAGGGAGGCAGAAATATTTAAAAATGGAATCGCTAGAAATCTGAAATGTAAAAGAAGAGAAAGGTGTCCACGCACACATATGCATATCTATGTAACAAACACAGCCATAGATCCCATACAATCAATGTGCATCCCAGTGTTTAATAGGAAAATAGCATGGGTTTGATAGCACATTTCTGCCTTCAAACGTGACCATTTATTTCAAATGCAATCTCCTGCCTCTATAGAAGCTGCCTAAGACTAGAGCAGAGTGACAGCTAAGTCAGCAATCAGTACTCTTCTGTTCCTGATGATGAGATTTTATATTAATTTCACACAGCACCTCCAACAGCGCAGTGCTCCCTCAGAATCTGCACTGCATGTCAGTCTGGGCTATGTGCTCAGGTCTCTGAAGAGGAGGCTTAAACCACAGACTTCGGGAAATAACTCCACAGAGTTACCACCAAGTCACCCCTTATTTATGTGTGCATAGTACTGGACACTGCTCCAGCTTCCTCAGAGCCAGCTCTCAGAATGAACAGAATCTCTGACACTCCTATTTATATCTGTCAGCCAGGGCTCCCTGATTGGACCAGGTTAACAGCCCCAGTCAGAGAACTCCTATTCTATGAGATCCATCTGGTTGACCTCATTGCAATCATTACAGTTCTGACTCACAGTATAACATGCCTCTACCTGCATCACAGCTGTCCGTGTAAGCTCGAAATCAATGGTCCAGCAGACTAAGGAAGTAGGTGTCCCAGTACACTCTGCTCCTTTTTTATCAATGTCTAGATTATTAATGCAGGCCAGACCTTCCTTTTACTACTGATAATTCTGCCTGCACATTTTAATTTTACTGCATCTAGATATTGTACGTATACACATTTTAAAAAATCATCTTTCCTTACAGGCATCCCCTCTGCACTGGTTGCTAAGCAAGGATTCTTCTCATTATTCATTTCATAAAACTGAATCTGGAGACAGCAGTCTTCGTTGTCTTAAAATGCCAATTATTAATCTTTCACTTCTTCTCCTCTTGCATACCCAGTAGCATGTGAAGTAGCCTATTTTTCTACATCTTTAACATCCACTCAATTGTTTTCTGCCTTGGTTCTGTAGCTGCTCACACAGACACATCTTTAAACTGACTGTGGAAATTGGTTAGATGTAATGTAGGATTTGATTGTCCATTCCTGTGGATTAGGGTATGGGTTAATGTTGGGGTCACAGCAGTCATAGATGGGTCATACAGCCATAATCGTACAGCATGGAAACAGACCCTTAGGTTCACACTGACCATGTTCCCAAACTAAATTAGTCCCACTTGCCTGTGTTTGGCCTATATCCCTCCAAACCTTTTCTAGTCATGTACTTATCCAAATGTCTTTCAAATGTTGTAACTGTACCCGCATCTATCACTTCCTCTGCCAGTTCATTCCACACCTGAACTGCACGTTGTGTAAAAAAGTTGCCCCTCGTGTTCTTTTAAATCTTTCTCCTCTCGCCTCAAAAATCTGCCCCTCTGGTTTTGAAATGCCCCTTCCTTTAAGGAAAAGACCTTTGCTATTCACCTTGTCATACTCAAGGTCAGAGAGTGTAGAGTCGAGCTGGGCATTATTGCGTTGGTGTTGGGAGCAGACGGAAGATCAGGGAAGGGGATTGAGCTTCAGTCTAGACGTGGTGGTGACAGTATGGGGTTTGTGCTGATCACGGAGAAGCAGATAAAAGGAAGTCTTACTCTCATGTGGTGCTTTGCACAATGACTGGTAGAGAACTTCCACACAGCAAGCTCCCACAAACAGCAATGAGATAATCATCAGACAACCTGCTTTTTGTGATGTTGATTCAAGGATAGCTCCCTAATCTTTGTTTAAAGATTTCCATTGATTGGGGGCTGACAAGTCCTCAATTTACTGTCCTTTCCAAAAGACAGGCTTGTTAGCCTTTGTCCTCAGAGTTTAAATGGGACTTAAACCCTAGTTACTAATAGGGACAACTCACGGCTGATCTGAGATGGATGGCAAAGGTGTAGAAAGTGGTTGGAATTGGTGGTAATGGAGAAGGAGACATAACCATGTCTTTTTTGTTACCTCTAGTCTGGTCTATCCCAATATAGTCCTGGCTGGTTTCACCCATTGCACTCGATATAAACTTGAGATCATCTGCAACTCGGTTGCCCATTTCTAAACTCACACAAAGACCTTTCCACCCATCACCCCTGGGTTTATAGACAGGCAAGCAATGCCTGAATTTTAAAATTCTCACCCTCGTTTTCAAATCCCTCCATGAGTCATTCTCCCTATCTTACTAATCTCCTCCAAACATAGAAACCGCCAAGATCTCTTTCTCTCTCCAATTCTGGCCTCTTGGTGCATCCTTTATTGATATGGTTCTACCTTTGGTTCTGCAGCACTACAAATCTTCCTTTCTTTATTGAAGGCCCTCCTTTGATCCTATATCTTCAGCTACACGTTTGGTCATCTGCCCTAAAATGTATATTCCTGTGAATTGCCTTTAAACACTTCCATTAAAGGAGTTAAATAATTTTTTTGACATACAATTCTTTGAAATGGCTGTTGTCTTCGATGAGACCTTTGGCATGCATGCCATCACATTTGACCCACAACAGGGCTGTGTTTGTAATGGTATTCTCCAGATGAGACCATGTCCTGTGCGTTTTATACTGTGAATCAGAGTGAGAGCAAAAAAAAGCTTGTTATTTCTTGTTGACGTCATTGAAGAAGGCCACCCAGTTAGTCCTTCCAGCTCTATCCCTGTAACTGTAAAACATTTTTTCCCTTTTCATTTCCAGAGAGAAACGATGGTGTCGTGATAATTTCACTGGGCTAATAATCCAGAAGCTCAAGCTATTGTTCTGGGGACCTGGATTCAAATCCCACCACAGTAACTAGTGGCATTTAGAATCAATTAATACAAATCTCAAATTGAAAAGTAGTCTCAGCAATAGTAACCATGACATCATCCTCAATTGCAGGATTCTACTTCTCAATCTCTCCCCCTGACTGAGGAGTGGTGACCCCCAGGTTAAACCATCACTGGTTGTCTCTCTCTAATGAGAGAGTAGCCCCGGTGGGACTACGGTGACTTTGCCTCTTAGTGCTCTGATGTCCTTTAAGGACGGACATCTGCTGTGCTCACTGGTCTGGCCTACTTATGACTGCAGATCAATAATCATGTGATTGACTGGTGGATGTGGGCACAGTTAGAACATTGAAAAGACACTTAGATAAGTACATAAATAGGAAAGGTTTGGAAGGATATGGGCCAGGTGGGACTAGTTTAGTTTTGGATTATATTTGGCATGGACTGGTTGAACCGAGCAGTCTGTTTCTGTGCCGTATACCTCAATGACTCTTAACCGCCCTCTGAAATACCTTATTAAGCACATTTAGGGATGGGCAACAATTGTCAGCTTTGCCATGGGACACTCAGATCCCATAAAAGAATAAATGAGAGAAAAAAAAATTATTTCATCCTCTATCAAAAGTTGTTAGCTAAATCTGCTTCCACCTCAAGCTGTCCAGCTCATGATAAGTTGCTCCACAGAAAACATTCTCCTTATCACCCTTTCAGTTTACTGGCCAATTATCTTATGTCTAGGTCCTCTGGTACATGGGACTCTCCTGTCAGTAAAACAGTTCATTATTACCACACTTTTTATTAACTTGTGTTCTCTGCTTTCTCCATTCATAATGATAAGAGGTCATTGACCTGAAATGTTAATTCTGTTTCTCCCAGATGCTGTTGAGTGTTTCCTGCATTTTCTGTTTCTAAGCACGCACCGAAAGGGCAACACTGCACTGACAAGCTGTCACATTCACAGAAGCAGGCAGGAAATTGGATGACATTTCACATGTCTCCTGTGGTAGAATGAAGGAGGCCAATGGCTAAAAATTGTGAAGACTGTTATCCTCAATAGCCAATGACAGGGCTCTACTGAGACAAACAAAAAAAACAAAGAACTGCAGATGCAGGAAATCAGAAACAAAAACTGAAATCAGTAAAGAAACTCAGCAAATCTGGCAGCTTCTGTGGAGAGAAAGCAGAGTTAACATTTTGGGTCCAGTGATCCTTCTTCAGAACTGATTGTAGCTAGGAACAGGTTGGTATATATGCCGAAGATGGGGTACAGGTGAACGACTAAATGATAGGTGGAGATGGAGCCCAGACAGAGAGACAGAGAGAGAGAGAGAGAGAACAGCAGTTGGGGAGACAAAGGAATGGGTGAAGGTCAGCCTGGGTGGATCAATAGCTGCTAATGGAATAGACCAGAGAGTCCTGGATGGACTGGTCCCCATGAAAGATTATAATTGATGTACTGGAGAAAAGAGTTGTGGATTGGAACAAGGCATGTCCAATATACTCACAGAGACAAACCCACTGACTTCCACAGTTACCTGGACTCTTTGTCCTCACTCAACACGAATATGTTCCCCCTTGTCCTCACTTACCATCCCACCAAGTGTCCATTTCCAAAGGATCATTAGCTGCCATTTCCACCACCTCCAGCAGTGTGCCACCATCAGACACATTTTCCCCTTCCCTCCCTTGTCAGCATTCCACAGAGACCGTTCCCTCTGGTCTATTCTAGTCCACTCCTCCTTCACCTACACATCCCCCCCGCCCTCCTGCTGCCCCCCGCCACAGCCCCACAGAACCTTCCCATGCAATCGCAGAAGGTGTAACAGCAACGCGTTTACTTC